ACTACAGGAATAGGAGTTTAAATTTTTAAGAAAATGAGATAGGATACATAATTTTGAAGAAGGTTTTCTTTAAGAAAACAAATGTCAATCTCTTTCACTGACTTGTAAAAATCAATTTACAAGTTTTTAACTAAAAAACTCTCTTCTCTTGCTATCCAAATTGCACCTATTTTTATTTTTTTTTGGTGCCGGGGATCGAACTTAGGACCTTGGACTTTCGAGGCAGGCGGTGGAACCGCTAAGCTAAATCCCTGGCTAAACTGCACCTATTTTTAACATTACACCTATTCTACTGAAATTTCCCACCACTACATTTCATTCGCTCATTTATTCAAAATTTAATAATTGTAGCCAGGCGTGACAGTGCATGCCTGCAATCCCAGTACTCATGCGGCTGAAGCAGGAGGCTCTCCATGAGTTTGAGAACAGTCTGGGCTACCTAGTGAGTTCAAGGCCATACTGAACTATACAGCAACACCCTGTCTCCCCCCAAAACCAAACAAACATACATATATAAAAAATTTAATAATTGTGTGCTGTACACGCTTAGTATAAAGTAGAAAATTCAGTTCCTGCCCAAAAAATTTAGTAGGAATAAGATATGAAAAACATACATGCAGAAGGAGAAAATACTATCACAGAACTACATATAATATGCTATGCAGATCAAGGGAAGGACCTAATACAAAAGTAGTGACATCTGAGGGCATCTTCTCTAGGCCAAATATGGATACACTGCCACAAGCATTTACTATGATATTATTTTCTTGATTTTTAAGAGTCCAAATTAAAAGTGTATGAATTCTTTCATTATAAAAACACTAATATTGAAAATATTATAGTTAAATGTGTCCAGAATAATTATTATACTGGTTTTTGGCTGTCCAGAATACTATTAATAATTTTAAATATCAAAATATTTTTAGTGCTATCATTATCTGCAGTTTTGCTCTTATTTAATCTGAATACTGAAGTATATATACCTTGAGACAGAGACCAATGATGCATATTTTTATTTTATATGGCACACAACTGCAAAACACAAAATTCTTCCCTGTATAGAGAACTGTACATTGAGTCAAAACTTTCAATATAAGGGAACATTATTATACTCAGAGTATTCTTCTTTAGGAAGAAAATAACAGCTGTTGCAAAAAAATTCATACACAAGTTCAAAGATTTTTTGGACAGTAAAACAGAAACATAAAGACTAAATTATTCCCTACATGAAGTGAATGCCCTGAGGAATAGAAATTGCTCTCTTTGAAAGAAAAGGCCCACCTTGCTAACAATAAAAAGATTTTTTTAAAAAGAAAGAAAAAATGGTGGACTGTCTGAAGATCAAAGAATAAGGAGAAAGATTCAGAATGAGTTTATCTTTTGCTCATTCTCAAGCAATTCAGAAAATAGTTTTTCAGCATTTGTAAGGCTTAGTACAAAAAATATACTCATTACCTGGTATATCACATACTCCTGTCTTTAAAATTATTTTTAAAATTGGCACATAAAACATGTATATTTATGGAGTATTAGATGGTATTTCTATTCATGTATACACTGTAATGTTCAAATCACAATAAGCGTAATTATTTCCATAAACGTATCTTTTTTTAACAGTACAACACTCAAAAACTTTTAGCTTTTTGGAAACATATAATACATCATCATTTTCTATAGTCACTTTACTGTCCAACAGCAGACCAGAGTGTATTTCTCCTAATAACAGACTTAGGGCACATTCACCAATTATTTCCTAACCATCCCTCTCCTCTGTTTACCAGCCCCTATTCTATTGTCAACTTCTATGAGATCAACTCTTAGATTCAACATGCATATGATCATGCAATATCGATCTTTCCAGTCATGGCTAATTCACGAAACATAAAATACTCCAGTCCCATCCATGTTGTCATAAATGATAGGATTTCATCCTATTTTATGGCTGAATGGTATTCTGCTGTGCATATATACATTTTCTTCATCCATCCACCAGGTAATGGACAGTTATTTCCATCTCTTAGCTATTTTGACTAATGCTACAATAAATATGAGACTGCAGATGTCTCTTCAATATACTATTTCCTTTCATTCTGATGTGCACCCAGTAGCCAGATTGCTGTTATCACATGGTAGTTCTATTTTTAATTATCTAAGGAATCTCCATTCTGTTTTCCATAATGACTACTAACTTAGATTCCCTCCAACAATGTTTAAGAGTTCCCTTTTCTCTACAATCTCATCAGCACTTCACCCCCACCCAGAGTCAGCTTTTTAAAAAATACTTTACAGGGGGCCGGGGATTTAGCTCAGTAGTTCTGCCACCTGCTTTGCAAGCACAAGGTCCCAAGTTCGATCCCTGGTACCAAAAGTAAAAACAAAACAAAACAAAAAAAATATTTTACAGGGCCAGGGATTTAGCTCAGTGGTTCCAGTGCCTGCCACACAAGTGCAAGGTCCCAAGTTCGATCCTCGGTACCAAAAAAAACCAAAACAGTCAAAAACAAAAAAGCTTTACAATGTCCTTCTTACATAGCAAATGGCTTGTATTACAACAATGCAAATGTTTTTATCTTCCAAGTTAATACTTGTACTTGATTTTTGTATTGTTTATAACTTTTATATTATTGTACATACATAATACATAGTGTTATTTTTTAATTTTATGAATACAAATACACTCACATCAGATTAGCCCACAACTTAAATCAACATTCTCCAACTGTTTTCTTCTCCCGTGTAGCAACTACAACTGCTGCCTCATCGTGGTTCCCATGAAAATAACCGAAGAATTGTGTTAGATTTTATGATCCCTCACATACTCTAATACATATAATTAACACTACCTAAACATAACCTTCAGAGTAAAAAGAGAGCCTTACTTACCATGCTTCATGTAACTACAAATAGGTTTATGGTAGGGAGAAAAATGAAGAGGGGTGTAAACACATGCTAATTTATGATTTGAAAAATACTGCCAGGTATGGTGGCACATGCCTCTGATCCTGGCACTTGGGAGGATGAGGCAGGAGGATCATTACCAGTTTGAGGCCAGCCAGGGCTACATAGTGAATTCAAGACCAGCCTGGCCAGTGATTTAGTTCAGTGGTTCTGCTGCCTGCCCTGCAAGTGCAAGGACCTGAGTTCGATCCCCAGTACCAAAAAAAAAAAAAGAGAGACCAGCCTGAACTACATACCAAGACCCTTTTTCAAAAAACCAAAAAGAAAGAAAGAAGAATGCTAGACTCTATGAAGGAATCAAAACAAAGGCTTTAGGAAATATATAATCTGGTAAGGAAAATACATTAAATATAATACAGGAAAGACTAGGGACACTATATTTTCAGAGGTAGTGGCAGTCATTTTTAAAATGTTATGGTATAGACAGGAATATAAAAAACAGCTCATTTACTCCTTTAGCAGTTATGGTCATGGGGTAAAACGATAAACAAAGTAGGTTTGATTCCCATCTGGATACGGAAAAACAAGTAATAAACCAATGTAATTACCTCTGGGAAGTTATTAGTTTATACTAGTGGAAAGTGGGAAGACTGGTCAAGCAAAGCCACACTAATAAATGGAACAACATCCAGATTAAGAACTTGGAAGTGAGAAGTCAGTCTTTCAAACACTGTATGTGCAAGCGCTGGGGGCAAAGAAATGTAAGCTCATGAAAGAAACAATGGCATAAAAGTTCACTGGCCTATTTGAGGACCCCAAAGACCAAAGTGATTGAGGTTTACAGAGCAATCAAAACTAGCAATGATGGGATTAGAGAAGTAGGGATATGAGCTCACAGAACAAAAAAGCAAGAGGTCCAGGGTATGTTGAAAGAAAAGCAAATTTACTAATTTGGCTAGAGCATGAGGTTAATGGAAAACAACATTTGCCCACCACCTTCATGTTTAAGGTCTTAATTCAATTTTTACTACACAGTAAGAGAATGTTTCCCTTTTATGGATGAAAGAATAACAGTTTCAGGAAGAGCTAAAAGTCTTACTAATAAGGTCACACTGTTAATAAACAGAGTCTCAAATCCCAGACATGTTAAGTCAAACAAGTACCCTAATTTCTATTACACAGTAAGAAGTCATGAAAAATAAGGTTAAAAAGACAAACCAGGTTAAATGTCAAGCTGAAAAATATGGGCTTTGTTACAGACAAAAACTGTCAGAAATGATATCAATTAACAAGATTCTGATATCCACAATACATACAGAACACTTTCAAACAGAAGTTAATTTACACAAAATAATTACCATATAGTATATCGATCATTTTTAAACTGTATTTCCCAGAAGTGTAAGACTGTATGGGTGTGTAATGGCTAAATATCAAGTTCAATCAAAACATTACCTACTTTAATCTGTTTTATATTTGAAAAAAAGCATTTGGCTGTTTAAAAAGCATATATTATAAAGAATCAATTTTGGTTCTGGAAATCTTACTCTAAAACATATAGAAGTAGAACATTTCTTTCAACCATCATATGCTCTTAACTACCTTACTAATCAGGCTAATAATCTCTTGCAGCTTTTCTCCAAAAAGCCAGCTATGTGTTAATAAAAGTTATTAAAGATAATTTCAAGATGTTTTTGCTTGCACACTTTAGGAACATATATGCCTACCAAAAATACCCATGGATGTTTAGGGTATTTATAACATAAAATGTAGGATAAATATACTCTAACAATACTATAAAGTTTTTCTAATAACTAAAAAAAAATATGAAATATTACATATTAATTCTAAAAAAAGCAGATGTTACTAGTGAAAACTTCATGTATTAACACTGGAAAATATGTTTTAATTAGCTAACACAAAATCCACAACAGTAAATAATACAAATTCTTCAACTCTACTGACTTTAGAAACAGTGTTTAACATGGGCCAATGATTTTATATAACCCCAAATTACTCAAATGGTCAGCATCCCTAACAAAATTTGCAAATTGGAAACATTGTGGATACAAAGAAATGGTTGTTTAAATCTACGTACATACCTTTGTCCTTCTTAAAATTCAAAGCATCTTCTTTATCAGTCACTATTTCCTTCATATTGATAATACTCTGGTGGGTAAGCTGTCGGAGAATTTTAATTTCTCGAATTGCTGTAATTGGAAAGCCTTCTTTTTCATTATCCAGACGTACTTTTTTTAAGGCTACCATTTCTCCTATTAAAAAATTGAATAAAATCAGATTACCAGCTGACAGAAGCAGATGACTTTTTACTAATTTAAATTTATTTTGATTCATAACTTTTGTTCATACATTTTAAGATTACAATCCACAAACTATAGTTTCCAACATACCAAATAATATTTCGAGTTCAATAAATGAGGTCTCTTAGGTAACTGTACAAACCATGAAATACTCTACTAAGAATGAATGAAGTAGATCTGTATGTACTATTTGTTTTGTTTTTTAGGGTCCTTTTTGGTACCAGGAATTGAACTCATGACCCTACGCTTGCCAGGCAGGCGCTGAGCCACTGAGCTACATCCCCGGCCCTGTATGTATTGTATTTTTATGGTCTCCATTGGTATATACCTATTGAAAATATGTAAAACACTAAAGACTAGGTCTATTACACTGCCATTTATTTTATTTAAAGTATAGGAGAGAAGGGTCAATATATCCAATATATTCATACATAAAAATCTCTGAACAGAAAATATGCTCAGACATATTACCTACTCAGTCATCTAGTAATAACACTGGGGTCCAAACTCTGATTAGCCATCTCAAAAGTACTTTTTTTTACCCACTACATTAACTGACACATAGTTAAGATATGAGTAAGACTGGTATCAGACAAGATCTAAATTTTAAAAAAATACAAATACACAAAGCTTAATACAGGTTGAGAATCCCTTATCTGAAATATTTAGAACCAGAAGTGTTTCAGATTTTGGGAGTTTTTTCAACTCTGGAGTATCTGCACAGATGTCATAGGCTAAGCATCAGCTGGACTGGTATAAAAAATTCTCTATAATATTACATTTCTTTCAGGAAAAATAATGCTGTTCTTATAAATTCTCAAAAATCTTATCCTTTCCATCATTAAAACTTACTCATTTTATGACATCTTATAATGCACTATGTTTAGTAAAAAGCTTTTGTTATAATCTTTCTGATAATTATAAATATTGATAGTTACTCTATTCTGCAATACCTTCAAAGGTCAACCCCTCTATCTTAACTGGCCTCAATTTTAATCTATTGGTTTATGTTAGTAAGAAAGATTAAATACTAGCCCTATGTATTATTTAGGAAAATGGATATCTTCTGACACCTACTTCTTCCTCTTTCAAGAATTTTTAAAACTCTCAAGTTTCTGATTATGTTGAGGAATTACCCTGCTCTCCAGGGATAATATATATATTGGGGGGGGGGTGTGTGCCAGGGATCAAATTCAGGACCTTGCGACTTGCAAGGCAGGCGGGTGCTACTGGGCTAAAACCCCGGCCCCTCCAGGGGTAATATTAAAAAATAAATTTAATCAAAATGCAAGTGTGCACAATTAATACAAAAAATTTTATCACTCAGACAAATTCGAGTGAAAGTACTTTTGTCCCATTACCAATGTTTTAAGAATTATTCACCATAAAAGAAAAAAACCCCACAAATACTAAAGAACACTTTTTAAAAAATCTATGTATACATACACAAAATTACAATAAATCTGAATTTTACTTTTTTAGAAATTCCTAAAGCTATACATTAGAAGAGAGACCGAAAGTACATACACTTCATAGGCCTAAAGAACCCAGAAACTTGGCATTCTTACCAGTGTCTTTATCCCTGGCCTTGTAAACTTGTCCGTAAGTACCTTCTCCAATAATTCCGATGATATCAAATTTATCCACGCAGCGCTTTCCCCAGTCAATATCTTTTTCTTTGATTTCACCATAGCGAGGCCCACATATTCTATTAAATATAGTTCTGAAGTTTTTATATACAATCAAGCAAATTGAGCAAACTATTTAATAATTCAGTATCTACCCCCTTTATTTTCCTCTACCCTTGCATATCTGTGACCATCTAAGATAAGTTACACTCTAATTTGATAATGCATCATAAAAATCAAGGTATGATTTCTACATTCTATTCTTCTGGAGAATAGTATTTAAAACAGAAGAGAGAAGTAATATTTCTATGAAGAGCTTTCAGAAACAAAATGAAATTTTTCAGTCAGTGGATGACCCCAATACCAAAAGTCCTCTAACCAACCTCCAGAATTTTATTTTTCATTCATTATACAGATCATTACCAAAAGTTTGGTAATGAACCCTAACCAAAACTTACAAAATACAAATTTCGACTTATACCTACCTGGATGAAATTATCTTAAAAATGGATAATGCTATAAAGATTTTTCAGCCTAAGAGTAAAAAATGTATTAAATAACTCTCAGGAATCCACACACAGGCAGAGAGATAGATATTACAAAAATTACACTCATAAAAAAGATGTTATTTTATAATATTTTCATACAGTATTTCCCAAAAATAAGACTTCGCTGGAATAAGCCAGGAAATAGTATAATTTTTCAGGATGCTCATAGCATAAGCCCTACTCCCAAAAATAAGTCCCAGTTAAGATTGTCAGCTAGACGGAAGTATTTATTATATCCCCCCAATGCATGATGGATGTAGTAAATTATAAATATGTAACTAAATATAAATATTACCAACATTAATACTTAAATAATATAAATTATAATTATGGATTTGTAAATGCTTAAGTGAGAGCCTTTGGACAAGAAGTAAATGCCTATGTAAACAGATGAACTTGAGACAATGCCTAAAGAATGACCAGAGTACAGACACAACTCACAAATAATGTGCACATTTGGTAACAACGTATGTCACTGTGTCTAATACAAATCTTCATAATCTTCCATAACACGTTATGGGTTGTAACACATATGTAATCCACTCGTGAAATAAAGAAATGTTTTCTAATTTTGTTGCCTGTAATTGTTTTGTCACTTTCGTGCAGATCATCATTCTTTTTTTTTTTTGGTATTGGGGACTGAACTCGGGACCTTGTCCTTGAAAGGCAGGTGGCAGAACTACTGAGCTAAATCCCCAGCCCTAGATCATCATTCTTAACTGTCATCATTTTTGTTGCCACTCTTGTCTCATAAGTCTTCAATACTTGATTTAATGGAAACTTTGTGAAGTTCAGCCTGCAAGAGGTCGTGACTTGGGTGAAGAACTCACAGGATGAAATCACTGACAGCTGTGCTGCCTGTGCACTATGAGCAGGCCACACGGACAGGAAGCTCTCATTTAAGAGAGCTCTGTTGCTGAACATGAGAGATTGGGGCCTCCTGTAGAATGGTTCTACAGGAAAAGGAGATTCATGAAATTCAGGCCAAGCCAGACCTGGGGGCACATGCTTGTAATTCCAACACTCAGGAGGCTGAGGCAGGAGGATCGAGTTCAAGGCCAGCCATGGGCTACATAGTGAGTTCAAAGCTAGCCTGAACTACACAGTGAGACCTTGCCTCAAAAAATAAAAACAAAAACAAAAAAGAAAGAAATTCAGGCCAGAATTAGAGGTTTGGAGAGTTATAACAATGTTCCAGAAGATGATATGACTGTATCTGAATAAATGCAGATTTCTGTACATGAATAGATTACGTGAAAAAATAAGACATTCCCTGAAAATAAGCCCCCCTGCTTCTTGTAGACCAAACATGAATATAAGACCCAGTCTTTTTTTTCTTTTTTGAGGAAATACGGTATTAAGAGAAGATTCCAAAAATTCAAGAAAAACATAAAAGCTATAGTACTCATGGAAGATTACTTTTAAATTTTTCTTTTCTTCTCGTCATAAAAGAAAATGAGCTCATACTCATTACATTAGGCACTACCTGAATAGTAATTTTAAAATCAAATGTAACTCAAAAGGTCTTTATTCTCACTTTCCTTTGGTTAAGTACAAGTTTAAAAAGGCATCCGTGTCCCCCCCACCCCCACCCTTAACTAATGAACAGGTTTCAGGGCAAAGAGTTCTATCTGTACACTTAGCCCAAAACTAATTTAGAATACAGATTTCAAATGTTCTTCCACTCCATCTCTTGCAAAATGAAATGTATTCAGTTATGGGAAGAAATACAGCTACAAGCAAAGGAAAACACAGCTGCTTGCTCATTTCTAATTTTGTTTGAACTCAATGAATACTGACTTCTGCCTTGTCCAATGTCAGTGTTTCTGTGTTATTAAGCTGTCTGAGTGACAGGAATTAACTTTAACACATACAATACCCCAAGGAATTAATACATTAACAAACCATGAAAGAAAATTTAATTTGATTTTATTAGTCATTGTAGATAGGTAAGCAATTATGAAAATTTTTTCCAAAACTAGAAATTTATTCATATATTTATGTCGAGAGAATAAATGTAACTTTCATTTAAAATGAATCATTTCTGGAGGATTTAAGAGCAGGTAGAAAACAAGCACATACTTAGGTCTCCGTTTACTATGCAACTGCGTTGCAGTTTTCTTTTCCTCTGGACTCTTGGAAAGATCCTCTCCTCCGGCTTGGGAGGCAGGTGAGAGGGCAGGGCTAAATCAGCAAGAAGACATCTGTTTCTTTTCTACTTCTTTTTTAACTGCTTTTACTGAAATACTTCCTCTTAAGCTTAAAAAACGAAACAAACAAAAAAGTTACACAAATAAAACCCAAAATTTGGTTGAGGAATAAAAATGTGGCAGTGTTTTGCATTTCAGCAGCATGTAAGGGCTATGCATATTCTGTACTATTCCCTACTGCAAGACACTAATCTCAGTTTATTTTCTAGTTAAAATCAAACACTACAAAATACAAAATTTAGAGGTAAAAAATATGCCACAATTACTTAAAAACTAAAGAAACTATAAAATGTGGGCCTTCATTAACAACAATGTATCAATATTGATTCATTAATTTTAACAATGTACACTAAGTAGAATACTAAAAATGAGGAAAGTAGGTGCAAGAAAAATAAAGAATAAATAAATAAATAAATCTTTGTAACTTTCTGGTAATATAAAACTTGTAAAAATATTCTTCAAAATAAGTCAGTGAAAACTATAAATTAAAATTGAAAAATCAACTAATCATTCCTCGTAGCAAAATTCATTAGTTTTGTAAAATCATTTGATACATTTTGCAGTATTATCAGCTTAACTCTGGTGGAGAGGCAAAAGATGTTTTCCTATAAGAAACAAATAAAGCCATGTGAAATTAATAACTTGCTATTGCTTACCTTGCCCATTTAAATAATTCTAAACAGCAACTAATTCAGCTTCAATTCTTTTTAAGGTTAATTAATTTTTCTACATTAGACAATTCTTCTAATTTTTAAAGATGGCAATTTATTAGAATTACTTCCAGGGTGTAATTTAATCTTTAGTTCTATACTTTGTATGAATTCATAAAGAGCTGTGACTTGAAATGGCATGCCCATGTAATCCCAATTACTCAGGAGACTCAGGCAGGAGGATCACAAGTTCAAGCTCAGCTCAGGCAAAAAATAGAAAGGGCTGAGGATGTAGCTCAGTGATAGAGCATTCACCCAGCATGTGCAAGACCCAGTTCAAATGGGGGAGGGGGAATTATAGCTTCACTTGCTAACTGATTAAATTTCCCAAATACCACAAAAACTGTTATCAAATAATGACATGTCGAATAATGACATGTTGAAAAGAGAACCTTAGAATGATAATAAAGTTTGAACTTTACACATTTTCATAGCAGTTATGAGTGTTTGATGAAACCATTTTGTGAGACAACACTGTTGTGGTCAAAAATTAGTAAAGATGTTATCAATTTAATTTAGTCATCACTTCTAATCATGTTAAACATTATTACTCCTGTAAACAAATGGATTCTTTAATACCATCTGATAAAAACTACTTATCAATATTCGGACCAAAAGTGTACCTTTTCTTCACAGCCCTGCTACTCTCTAGCAGGCTCTTTAACAGGGAAAAATACTTGAAAATAAACTGGTTTGTAATCTTATTTTTACAGTAGTATATGACTCAGCCCACTTCTCAGTTTTACTGCCTCTCCATTCAAAAAAATTGTGGGCTTCTATTTGGTAGGTACCGTATAAGACTGGAAAATTTAACAACAATAAATAGGCACATTACTCTACTGCTCCTTTCAGATAGGACCTTACATTTTTGGAAGAGTCAGGTAAGCAGTAAGATTAAGCACTATGCAAAGAGATTCTCAGATTAGCATGGTACCTAAATCACACCTGAAGCACAGTAAAGAGTTCCTTCTACAAAGTTACCACTTCAACAGTCTAAAAATATGCCTATTGGCCCGGAATTTAGCTCAGTGGCACTACGCCTGTCTTATAAGTGGAAGGTCCTGAGTTCAATCCCTGGTACTAAAAAATAAAAAATAAAACAAAATAACCTTTAAAAATACGCCTATTTAACATAAGCTATTTAGCTGGGTACAGTGCTGCAATCACAGCACTCTGAGAGGCTTACGCAGGACAACCACAAGTTTGAGCCCACCATGGACAATGTAGCAACTTTGAGACCCTGTTACAGAAATTTAAAAGGCTGGAGATAAAGCTAAGTGTTAAAGCCCTGGATTCAATCCCCAGTACCACAAAAATTAATTAAGGAAACTGTAGCCTCTAACTTGTAATTAGGCTTCAGTTAAAAGTTCACATCTGATGATTCAAATCTACATGGAGAGGTAACGGAAAGTCTCAGTTTCACTTTTAAATTTTTTAATTTTAAAGAGTACGTACGTCTATTCAATTATATTATTACATGCATTATTAAATATTACTTTTTAAGAATAACATAACTAAAAACTACATTTTATTGAATACTTTCAAGAACAAAATATGATTTAAGTTTCCAGAAAAGAAATAAATAAAATGCCTTAAGAAGAAATGTGTAAGGCCAAGAGAAAAAAAATTAAAGCTTTGAAGAACATAAAACTAGATCTGAACAAATGTAAAGAAACTAGGTCTTTGTATGGAAAGTATGATACTGCAAAGCTGTCTCCAAGTTATTCCAAGGCCCTCTAAATTATTTTAGAGCCCCTCAAAAAAATCTTAAGCTTTTTCCATTGTAACTTAACGAGCTGATTATAAAGTTTGTCTAGAAATAAAGGCAGAATTGTCAAGAAACTTTCTGAAAAAATAAGACTGACCCTGTGAAATAAAATGGTCAACCTATTTTGAAAGATCAAGACTACATGAAATCAAATATGCATTATTCAGTCAATACAATGCTTTATAATAACCTGTAAGTTGTCAATAAATTTTAAATAAGATGTACATAAATATTCAAATTCCAGACTTCCTCTAAAAAGGAAAAACTCTACAACAGTGGGCCCAAATTCCTGTATAGCAACATTAGAACTGAAGTTCTATACCAGGTCTATTTATTAATCATTAATTTATTCCAACTCCTTCATATATATACACATATATATGTATATATGTATATATATACATACATATATATGTGTGTATATATATACATATATATGTGTGTGGTATAAAACCTATGTGTCCTTGTAATAGAAATTTGAGTTTGAGGGCCAATACACCATGCACCTGAAGATATTAAAACAGGCTACCATGCCTCTTCATGATAGCCCACCATATGCTGTAAGGTGTATTTTAATTTTTATTTTTTCCTCCCTTTTTACACAGCCCAAAACTCACTCTGAAGAGCCTATTTTACCATTCTGGTTCTTTCCTACCTTTAATAAATGTGAAACTTTGTCACCACTGTGGGGTGGGGATATTAAAACAGTAAGGTACTGGCAAAGAAAACACGTCAACAGAGAAGAAATACAGAAAAACACAAGGCACTTAAACAAGAATGTCTATACATGGTATTCCAAATGAGATTCAACAGACAGTGCTGGAGGGGGAGGGTGTGCACAGAGAACCTTAACTACTACTTCCTTCTTCACACAACAACCGAAAGAAATTATGTGAAAACATCTTGAATTAATATTTTTTAACTTTAAAAACACAGAAGTTTTAAAAGAAAGAGAGTGACAGGTATGACTACATAAAAATGAAAAACATCCACACAACCAAAAACAAAAAGCCTCAAAGAAAAAAGACTCTGAAAGGCAAAGTTCTAGATCCCTAACATAAAAGCACCTAAAAAACAATTATAAAAACACAATCGTTAACAATGCAAACATTTCAGCAATTATATATTTTTAAGAATGTTAAAAATTCAAAATCAACAATATCTAGTGTTGGTAAAGTACATTTTTTTAAAAAGTACATTTGAGTATATAAATTGGTACACAGCCTTTGAGAAACAATTTGGCAGTTTCTATCAAATTTTTAAATGTATATAGTACTTTGACATGCACCTGTCCGGCAAAATTACTAATATCAAGTATACAAAGACAGTTTATAGATTGCTATAAACTATGAACAGAAGTACCCATTAATTAATAGTAGAAAGCATGATGCATCCATTTCTAGAACTAAGATTTGATCTATTCAATACAGAAAGATCTTCAACACATTAAATGGAAAAAAGCAAGCCAAGAAACATGATGCATGATATGATCCTAATTGTTTAAAAAAACACAAAACCAATTAATATAAGATGATTTTTCAGGAAAGGGACTGCAACCCTGGGAGAAAAACAGAACTCAAAGCAAGCCTAAGAAGCACAGAACCACTAGAAACAAATGACATTATATCAAAGGATAAAGGAATCAATTTAAAGGAAATCCCACTGGCCAAATTTCCCCCCCAAAATTTGAGCATCAAAAAGAAAAGTTAACAGAATAAAACTCCACAAGACTGGAATGACTAAATGGGGCACAGAGAAGCTCTTATTTATATTAGCTTTATTAACAGGCAGTATTAAAAGAATGACAGAACTAGAAAATCACTATTTGCAGCCCCTACTATAACAACTGATTAAGATAAATATTAATGGGTGCTAAATCATTAGGAGACCTATTGTTGGAGAAAAGGATATTCAAACACTACCAAAGTATTAACCTACAGTTTACTTCTATTTGCAAAGGGAAAAATGTACCTTATCTATCAGCAGATCTTAAAGAGGTCAATTAACCAAGTAATTGCATCACTACTACTAAAATAAAGCAATCTAACATTCTGTTTCTCCTGTAGTGACACCATTAAGTACATAAAGTAATCCTAAATAATCCTAAATAATCAGACCAAAAACCTACTCTTGATCTGATCAAAGCCCAATTAATTTCCAGTTCATAGGAAACAAAAGGGTCAGAGAAGAACAAGCTGAAGTCACCAAGAAGAAACTTCCAGATAAATCCAGAAGTGTGACATTGTATCACACTACTGACCTGATTCTTCAAAAAGTTACGGGTAAGAGGAGCACTGGGCAAATGTAAATACGGACAGACAGGAGATGACGCTATGAAACTTAATTATATACATTAATAGTACCATGATTAAACAGAAAACTGGCTTTATTCTTGGATAACTGAAATACTTGGAGTAAAGTATCATGGCTACTTCTCATTCTCAAATACAGTAGTACAGCAAAAAAGTGTATGCCCTCCTCCTAGTCTCTTAAGAGAGAGAGGGAGGCAGAGAGAGAGGAGTGCAAACATATTGAGAAAAATGTTAACATACTTGCTGAATCTAGACCGAAGTAACACAGATGTTGAATTTATTAGTATTTTTTTAAATGCCTGAATATGAACAAAAAGTGTAACAACTAGTAGAGATTGGCAAAATCAAGAGGTCACATAAAACATACACAACTCTTTGTTAATTTATTTGGGGACACAACAGTAATAGTTAAGAGTGGGTAGAGGCATGCTTAAAGGAAGCAAAGATGAAGTTTTCCTTAAGATATGACTAACAACATTATCCAGACCATTAATCTTCTTTAAAGTGATTTTCAAATGTATAGTCAACAGCAAGTAAATAAAAATGTCTTTCATATTTGGATTTCCTAAAGTATAACAGAAAATAATGAGGAATAGTTTGCAAACCAGTTTCAACTAATAGTTATTTAGCACAAAATAAAAGTATACAAAGCTGGGCATAGTTGTGTGCACCTGTAATCCCAGCACTCTGGAAGGCTGGAGATCCCGTTTGTGGACAGCCTGGGTAACTTAGCAAGACCGTCTCATTAAAAAAAAAGAAGGCTGCAGATGTAACTCAGTGTGTAGGCCCCTGGGTTCAATCCCCAATATCACCACCACCACCACCATCAGCACCACCAAAAAGAAAAAAGTATACAAGTGTCTGTTAGGGTTTAGATCTAAACTACATCCCAAAAGTCTCTTGGGTTTTTTAAACAAATCTCTCCCCCCCACCCTCTCTTTCTATTCCTCCATTTCCTGCTATCTTGAGGAGGTGAGCAGCTTTCCTCCACCATGCCCTTTTACTGTCATTCTACTTTACAGCCAACCCAACCCTGGACTAAATCCTCTACAAACTGTGAGCCAAAATAAACCTCTCTTCCCTTTATGTTGTGGGTGTTGCTTATTTTGTGCTGGTAACAGAAAAGAAAATTTTAAATATGAAATTACTATGACCATTACTTTAAGATACATGAACAACAACAAAAAAGGTGGGTCACGTGGGTGGGATTAAAACCTACAATCTCTCTTTTACCCAAACCCATACTTTTCAAACAAAGCACTTGCCCAGTGTGGTAGCACATGCCCATAATCTCACCACTCTGGGAGGCTGAGGCAGGGAGTCACTGTGAGTTCAAGGGCAGCCTGGACTACAAAGGAAGCCCTCGGATCAAAAAGCAAATAAAACAAAAGAACAAAGTACTAGATCTAGCCGGGCTTGGTGACACATGCCTGTAATCCCAGCATTCGGGAGGTTGAGGCAGGTGGGTCACAAGTTTGAGACCAGGCCGCGCTATACAGTAAGTCCAAATCCAGCCTGGACTACACAGTGAGACCCTGTCTCAAAACAACAACTATAAAACAGTACTAGGTCTATTGCACTATGTTATAAAATACAATAATAGTTATTTTCACTTCATTTTCGGTTTTTGGGGGTTTTTTTTGGTACCGGGATCGAACTCAGGACCTTGCACTTGTGAAGTAGGCACCTGAACCACTGAGCTAAATCCCCGGCCCTTTTCACTTCATTTTCAATAAACACTAAACTAATCTAAAGGAGTTTCCTGCAGGACTCTCCTGCAGGACTTTATACCAATAATCACAGTATCTAAGATGCCTGGACTATACAATTTGCAAAATTCTTTCCATCAATTCATTTAATCCTTATAACTAATCTATGAGATTAAATGGTAAATATTTTCACCCCTGGATAGAACTAAACTTAATGAAGCTCAAATTACCAGGACTGAGGTACAACTGGACTAAAAACTAAATATTCTACAGCCCACTAACAAATTCTATTGCAAATTTTCTAAGAGCAATAGAAATAGTCCATATAAAATGAGTCTCTTGTCCCATTCTTTTTTTTGCTACTGGGGATTAAACTCGGGTCCTTGCGCTTGCACAACAGGTCTGGTCCCATTCTTATCCTTCAATATCCATTCACTTACAAAAGCAATCACTTCTGACCTCTCACTTTTTCATGATACACCTTTATTTAATCACCTAAAATCTGTTTTAAAAAGAAAAATGAAAATAATGTCTCTTCTTTGCATAATTAAATTTTGTAGGTAAATCACAACCACTGAAATAGTTCCACTGGTGCTGAATCAATCTTTTACCACACAGACATGTTAGCAGGAATATTTAGAAGTCTTGAGGAAACCCAACATTCATGAAAAATAACAACAGATTCAAAGAAAAAAGACACAACAAACGACAAAACACAGAAGAGACAGAAAAGTTGTACCCCCCACCACCAATAAAAGAATGACAAAGCCACCACTTCGGCAGATGGAAAAGGAGTACCTCCTTAAATATTTCTATGGGTATTATGTACTGAGTTCTTCAAAAGATCCGAAGAAAAAGCTGTCCCTAAATAGAAATGAGAAAGTACAGAACCACTTTCTCACAGAATCTGGCTTCTCAGTAAGTGCACACTCCTCACTTATGAGAGAACTCAGTTCTGGACTCAAGTCTGTCTATGCTGGAGCCCAATCCAAACTCCATGAAAAACTACAGGTCTATGGCTCGAAACCTTCAATATTCCCAAACAACAGAGTAATCTGCAAATAATACAATTAGAGCAGCGCCTCAGAGGGCAGGGAACACAGGAACTTGATTAAATTTTTCATGTTTTTAAATATATAAAATGATCATAATGCTAGCTAAAGTGAGCACTTGAAAGACATGGCATTTTTGTCCACCTGTTTTCAAGTTCTATAAATTAAGTCAGCTAAGAACACTGCCCACATAACTTCTTTTTAATAGAAAGTGAGGAGAAAAACAACTCTTAATTTCTTCACAAAAATAAAAGCAGTTAAATGGTATAATAGGTAGATAAATCATTCAATAGCATAATTCTACCCTATTATACATAAAAGAAACTTTAGCTTCCCATAGAGCTAGGATAACAGGCATGTTCTACCACCCTAAGCTAAGAAACATTCTTAGGGGCATTTACTTTACCATCAACACTTACCTTCATCTTAAAAATAAAAAATAAGTTGTCCCCAATATTAATAGAAAATTTGAAGCATATTAAAAAAAATCACTTTTGAGTTTTCCATAATACATAACTAATTCCTACTTGTGAGAAAAGCTAAAATAGATGTTAAGATTAAATTAAAAACTAGTAAATTCATAAGGCCACTAAAGAAACTTAAAAATACCCGATATATGAGATTATGAAATTTACAGCAACCAAAGAAGGCTCTCATAGAATGTCCTGGCTGTGACAGTATCAGCAAGGAAGTCAAAGAAAATGCTGGCATTTCTAGTTCTAATTCATCTTGAAATGCGTATTATATCCCAAGGCAATGGCAAATTTTTCTTAAACTGTTCAGCACAGACTGCAGTTTTATCATCTTACAAGCAACATGCTTCATGTTAAGGCGTACAAAATAAAATTCATTTACTTATGGCCTTCTTTATTTAATGGTAGAGAAGTAAGAAAGATCAAATTATTTATCACCTACACGTGACTTTTTCTTTAAACAGTTCTGACACATCTGTGTACACTCACCTATCTGTATCTTTATCTTCAGGAAGCATGGGAGGCAATGGTAAGGGTGGGAGCGTAGAGGTCACTAAAGTCACATGTTGCTCCTTCTCCTTGGCTCCCACACTTGGTGTCAGTGGTTTGGTTTTCTCTTTGAGAGATACTGGTTCCTCCTTTGTAGCAGCAGATTTACTCTCCTTCCCAATTACAGCTGTTTTCTTGGTGGCTTTATCTACAATCAAATTATTGTCTACCTTTGTTACCTGAAGAGGTGGCTTTGATTTTGCCTTGTCATTTTTTAAAGTTCCACCACTTGAGGGAGAAGGCGCATGCTCGGTTTTAAGTTTCTTCACATCCTTCACGTGGTTGGTTTGTGATGAGCTGGCTCCGGTTTCTGTGTTCCCCTTGGTTGGTGTAGATGTGTTGGAGGCTTTTGCAGCTTTCGCAGCTGCCTCTGCAGCCTTGGCAGCCTCTGCAGCTTTTGCTGCCTCTGCAGCTCGTGCTGCCTCTGCAGCACGAGCTTTTTTATTCTTGTTCAACTCAGCAGCCAGGCTACTCTTCAGAGTCAGTGTGCTAGGAGAAATGCTAGAATGACGACTTCGGGATCTAGACAATCTGTGCCTGCTTCGAGACCTTGAATGCCTAGATGAGTATGGACTTCTGCTTCGGGATTTGGCAGACCGTCTAGTGAAAAATAATTAAGATTTAGGAATTAGGAAAATTCAATCTAAAATGTACACAGTGCTAACTGGAATCTATGAAATGAAACAGATATTTACTTTATTTCAAAATCATCATGTAGCTTTTGGGAGAGTTGTTTTAAAAGCAGAAAGTGCTTTAAACCAAAATATGTGATGGCTACAGTTTTCTTGAAAATTGTTTGTCTTATCTTTCTCTGACCTACAAACGCTCAAAAGTGATGCTGGAGGACACACCCCTTAGTAAGAAGAAATACTGTAAAATTAGGAAACCTGTGCTGAAGTGTCACTACTGTCTCAGAAAACACAAGCAGGCAGTGAAGAGACAGCAGGGATGGCAGGGGAACAGCACAGGCTGACCAGTCCCGCAGGGAAAGCTCCTCCAGCTCAGCACACCTGTAACTCCAGGGCTGAGGCCACAGTGAAAAAGACAAAACCGATCATTAAGCAATGAATGAAAACAGTCGGAGGATTCATCTCAGAAAGACAGGTTTTTAGAAGTTTGCACATGCTGATTAAAATGCACACAAGCAAAACCACTTCACTCACATACAAAATAATCTTACGATGTGCTTAACTTCATTCAGAAAGTGGAAGTAACAACCATACAACTATTCTCAAACTAAGGTTCTACTAGCAGCCTTTTCATAAATAAACAATAGCAAGAAAGTTATATACACACACACGTATATGTATAAAATTTAAATCTTCACAGTGCTTGACAACTATGTCTTATTTTATCATAGTAGAATATAAAAATCACTAAGTACTATTACTCCAATTCTCAGAAGGGAAAAGCACACCAAGGTAAAGTAATTTGAACTCCCATAAAGGAGTAAACACAAACAAAAGTAACAGTCCGAAATAAAACTTAGGGTTTCCCACTTCTGGCTCTGTAAAATTACAAAAACCTAAAACTCAGAACTACTTCATCATGATGGTACAACTCACTTTTTAAAAACTGTTTCAAAAACTGGATGTGGTGATACATGCCTGCAATCTCAGCACTTTGGGAGGCTAAGGCAGGAGGATCACAAGTTCAAGTCCAGCCTGGGCAACTTAACAATTTAGCGAAACTCCTTCTCAAAAAAATTAATCCATCAGTTAATTAATTAATTACAACTACATGGAAAAAGGGATGGAGATACAGATCAGTTCCAAGGCCCTGGGTTCAAAAAACAAAATAATGCAGGGCATGGTGGTGCACATGCATAATTCCAGCTCTCAAAAGGCTGAGGTAGGAGGGTCTCAGCAAGTTCAAAGCACCCTGGACTACAAGGCCAGACCCTATCTCAACAAACAAAACAACAACAAAAAAGTAAAAACAGAAACAAACAAAAAATCATTACCTTTAAGACAAACTCAAATGCAAATTCAACTTCCTCATTCTTTCAAAAACAACTATGCGGGGAGGCAAACAGTGTCAACAATGAGCTAGTGTTTCATACAATCCCCATACTTTATATTTTTAAAAAAATACTTTAGACGAACAGAAACACGAGTTTAGAAAATATTCTAATTGTAATTTAACTCATTAAATATTTATATGTACCAATTATTAAAATCAATCCGCTTACAATTTTATTCATGGAAATGAAATGTTTGGTTAAATATGAAGTGATAAATTGGTTGTAAAATAACTTGGACAACTTTAATATAACAAAAGAGTTATAATATGAAACACTTGGCTACATTTTTCAAGTCTGATCCAAGTCACGTTTCCCTCCCTCATCAGATATTGATGAGCAAAAGGAAAAGGCAGAGACACTGTCATCTCAACAAAGTAACAACACAGTGGCTTAGGAAACAGCTTTTCTCCAATAAACTTTCCTACCCTGGCAAGACTGGTTATCAGTTTCACACAGCCACACAAATTATATTTAACAGAGAACTGTGATGAGTAAATCTTCCCTAAGAGATACAAAGATAGTAGGAAAAATCCCAACAAATTACTTCCTCTGGCTTATCAAAGTATCCTAGGCAGAATCTGAATAAGAGAGCTATCAGTAAAGACTTAAAAATGTTTTATTCTGTAAAAAAGGATATTTCAGAAATGCAATTTTTATGGTATTTGATTGCTATTCCTAATAGACTATTCTATATTCATCCTTCATTCCTCTCCAACTCTATTTCTTTAACCTATTGATTTCATGTCTAATAAGCCTTCATTCCCTTAAGACACTGCAATTCCCTAGCAAATTCCAACAATATATTTACTACTTATAACAAACATAACTTGGGAACCTAAAATTAAGTATTCAAAAATCCTCAAAATTGGGACATTTTTAATGATTTAATGCTTCAGCCATACAAAGTTACAAAGGTGAGAGAAGTACATCTCTAAAACTACACAACAAATTATACCACGATAATACTTTAATAAAACAAGTGTAATAAGGGTAGGTACCAAGTCCAACAAATCTTATCTTTAAGAAAAGATTCTTTTAGGCCAGGGATTTAGCTCAGTGTTTTCGCCACCTGTCTCATAAGCGCAAGGTCCGGAGTTCGAGCCCCGGTACAAAAAAAAAAGAAAAAAAGAGAAGATTCTTTTTAAATCCCAGAACTTAGGAGGCTGAGGCAGAAGGATCAGTGTGAGTCTGAGGCCCACCTGAACTACCTAGTGAGACTCTGTCTCAAAAAACAAAGTTTTTCTAATATTTTTAAATCCAGTGAACACATATTAGCTGTTTCTTGCTTGTTTTTTATGTTTTAAGAAATTATAGGACCTCTAAAGTTAAGAGAGCTTCCTATGTTTCTAAAAGGTTTTCCTAAATCCACACAACTCAAAAGTACAATCACAGTTGAAACTGAACTGCCAGTGCTCACTGTTAATCAGGCCAGTTTGTGTTGGAGAGAGAGCATGGTGTACTGTTCACTCAAGTGTACGACAGAATCTCTCCACGAGTCCAGGTCTTCTGGAAACTACAACTGATGAGCAAACACAAGCCCTGGCAGAGGCTATCCTTCCACCACCCGGGCTCCCGTCAGGCACCCTCTTCTCCAGAGCACTCACCAGGCTCCAAGAGCATTCTATCTTTCTCACCTCTTTATAGAGTTCCCTGTAACTTGTGAAAAAATATCCCTGTGAGTTCCCATAATCCTCCTACCTTCATAGTCCCTTCATTGAAGTCTCTTGAAACATTTAAATTGTATTCCATTTCCTTCTAGAACCCTGACTGATCTACCTGTATACCAGATCTTAATCCTAAAATTGTTAGGTCCTAAATCCAAATTTTTAGTTTCCTATAATAAAATCTAACCCCTTGTTATATAAAATAGTACAGAAGAACATCATCCAATAGAACTTGCTGGGATGGTAGAAGTATTCTACATTTGTGATGGCCAATACAGTAGACACTATGCACAACACTGTTTAGCCTCATTTTTCTACCCTTATACCACATTCCGAAAGCAGCTGTGTTCATTTCAAAATGTACTGTTAATCCCCTTTAAAAGATATGAAAATGCTTACCAAACTAAAAGGTGGTGCTTTTTCAAAAGCCTGTTTTTCTCAAGCATCTCTGTCACTACCTTTGTACATAAAACTGTTACTATGTACTGTCATGAAATGTGATTGTAACAGCCCTATTAACTGTATGTAACAGCACTGCCCCATAAATGTATCTCTTTGTTTTAAACCTTCTATCAACTTATCTAATCAATACTTCTTTAACCAAAATACTACTCCCTCCAGATATGGTGACTCACACATTACTCTGGGAGGCTGAAGCAGAGGAACTCCAATTTCAAGCCCTGCCCAGGCAACTCAGTGACTTAGAGAGATCCTGTCTCAAAATTTAAAAATAAATAAAAAGGAATAGGGATGTACCTCAGTGTGAAAGCCCTGGGTTCAATCCCCAGCAATCAATCAATCAATACTGTTTCTATCATTGCCAACAGGGCCTAAAATTAAAACATGAAAAGTGGCTAAATCTTCCTAACAGCCTTGCTAATCTCTATTTTTAATTTCACTGTTCTCCAGCCATTTACCCAGGCTAGAAATCATTTGTTTCCTGATGCCTGTCTCATTTTGATTCTAAGTCTACATTCACTACAACCATATCCTTTGAATAAAAGTATTTAGAGTCAGAAGTCCAAAATCAGTCTTAGTGAGCTAAAAAAAAAAATTACTGGGCCAGGGATTTGGCTCAGTGGTGGCACCGCCTGCCTCGCAAGCGCAAGGTCCGGAGTTTGATCCCTGGTACAAGAAAAAAAAAAAATTTACATGTCACCAGAGTTTAATTCATGCTGGAGTCTCTTGTCTTTTCCATTTTCAGTAGGCTGTCCACATCCACTGGCTCAGGGAGCCACATTATCAATCCTCTGCTTCCATCATAACACTTCTACGACCACCTGGTGACCTTGCATTATCCTTTCTATGAAGATCTCTGTAATCACACAGGATCTCCTGGATAATTTAAGATAATCTCCCCATCTCAAAATCTTTCATGTAAATGACATGTATACAAAGCCTTTTGCCACATTAAATATCTCATGCACAGGTTCCATGGAGTATAATAACGTGGATATCTGTGGGGAACCATTATTTAGCCTCTTCCATTCTCAAGGCCATTGTCCCTTTTCACCTCACCACCTCTCCCTTAGACTACATTGCCTTTAAAAAACTGATCACCACTGTTCAGTGATCATTACATGTCCCAGATTTGCTCATTTTACTATCATGCTTAGTAGAAATTCCAAGCCTTCACAACTTTCAAGCTCACAGCCCCATTTCCAAGACCATCGGGAATGCCTCTTCAATGCAAACTGTATTTCCACCTGCATTACCCTCGACCTCACCTTGGAGAGGTGTTCCTCCATCTCTGTAAAGCTGACAGCTCTGTAATTCTGATCCCATTCTCTCTAGAACCTCACTTCACAGACTATGGTCCACAGACCAACAGCACAGCATCACCCGCATGTCTGTCAGAATGCTGCATCTCAGGCCCTGACCCAGACCTGCAGAATAAGAATCTGCACTTTAAG